TACAACACATGACTAATAAATCCAATAGAACAAGAATCATAATAAGATGTGCCACCAACAAAAGCTGAGTCTAGTTGATACCCACTAACAATGTACCCACAAAAATAATAAGAGGTGCACTATCTGAAATGAAACTTCCAATAAATATAATCTGGAATTAACAAATTACCAAAGCTTCATAATTGTAAATCAATATATCTGGCAACAAAAAAAATTTGAAATGTAATTAAAATAAACCCTCCTCAAAACTCAACTTAGAAAATGAATTTAGCAGGGTGTCTCTAAATTCCAAGAAAAAACATAGCATACACTCTGAGGAATACCCAACTCAAAACCTGAGCTTAGAGAAGAACCACCTGTTCTTCCCAGTCTTGAACCTTTCCTCAAACCTCTTCTTGATCTCTTTCCCAGTAGTCTCCTTCTTGTCCCTCGACTGCAGAGCATCTGCAGTGACCACATCCTTGAGGTCCACGTCGAGGGTGTACCTGGTGGGCATTACGTGACTGTAGTTCACCATCTTGGCAAACGCCTTGACGCGAGACTTCTTAGCGGTTTTCTTGGACGAGTCCTTGCGGATGACCTTGGCGGGGTACTTGGAGATGCCGGCAACGAGACAGTGGCCGTAGGGGCGGTCACGACTGCCGTCGTCAAAGGACCGGACGATCACCGCCTTACGGCCGGCGAAGCGACCTTGCAGGAGGATCACCGCCTTGTTGGGTTTCAAAAACTTCACCATTTTTGCCGTCTGCGATTTTTCTCTCCGACGGCCGCAAATGAAAGGGCTAGGGTTTTACGTGGCGTGATTTTACCGATTCGTATAGGGTCGTAGTTACGGAAATGTCACTGGTAACACAGATACAGATTTATTTTTCTGTGGACTTTCTAGGCCCAATTCTTTTTCTTTTTGAGTCGATATTAAGCTATAAAACACCCACCACACATGAGATGGAAGGCTATTTTATACTAAGTTAAAACAATTATGACATTTTAACACTTAATATATTAATTATGATAATAAAAAATTAAAATATTTTTAATAAATTAATGTATAAAAATGATTTATTTAAAGATATTTAAATAATTTTAATTATTCAATTAATTAAATTAAAGTTAATATTTATGTTTTTCATACAAATTAATTATAAAAAATACAATAAATATACCATTTTAAAAAAAAAGAGGTACTCCTATCTTTTTTTCCCTAGATCAAAAGGCTAGTCTCGTGATTTATAACTTCAAATTGTGAAAAATTGAAATTTCATAATAATTAATAAAAAAATTTATTAATTATTAAAAATAGGCTGCCTAGTGCCACGCTTCACTTTTGGTATTGTTTCGTCAAAAACTGCCACACCCAAATGGAATCTCAGCAAATTGAGGGGAGAAAGAAACCCAGAAAATTAGGTGGAATTGAACAGAATTACTACACTAAAAAATTTGGGATGAAAAATTCCAGAATTTTTACCTATTGCTGAATTTTTTTTTTTTGGATGTGTGTATTTTTTTGTTCCTAAGACATGTTAACATGAACACTAGCATTCTTGGTGGATTTACAGATAGGGCAAACGTTAAGACTCGACCCACACCCAGCACACAAGCACAAATGCCTGCATGGCAAAAGCAGCACGCACGATTCCTTCTTACTGCAATTCCTGCACATCCTGCTTCCACCTTCCTCTGTTCGATCCTCCTCCCAACTGTTGCCACAGCAAGATTCCGCGTCGTCGACAACCTCCTCCTCCACCCCCGCCCCACGACTGCACTCTCCCTTAACTGCCTGCGCGGCGAGGACTTGTTCTAGGTCGTTGCGGAGGGCGTTGGCGGTGGCCTCGTTGGTCTGGGCTAAATCTCTCCAAATTTGGTTCTCGATGCACAGGGATTTGACTCTTTCTTCTAATGCCCAATTGAGTTTCCTGATTTTCTCGACTTCTTCTTCCTTGGCTCTAATTTTCCTCATCACGCCTTCCTCTATCCCCTCCATTATCCTCTGAGCTTGCCTCTTCCTCTTTTCCTCAATCTCAATCCTCACTTTCTCCATCTATAAAAAAATTCACAAAAACCAATCAATACCCAAATTCAAGAAAGTAATCTTGAATCGAAATCTTAATTCTGGGATTAATGTTACTTACATGTTGGGAGATGAGGCAATCGATATCGAATTGTTGTTGATGGATCTGGAGGGAGATGTCATGGCCAAGAAAGGAGAATGGGGTGGAAGGTTTGGTGTTGGATTGGGAGAGCGGCGGAGAAGGGAAGGAGGGGAGGGGGTTGAGGGATTCTCGCGGCCGCTTTCTGGAGACCGGAATATTGTTGGTTAGAGTGCTTTCCGATTTGATAGCGGTGGTGTTGTTTGTTGGGATGGAATCAGTAACCATAGAACCGTACAACGGAAGCAGCGCCTCCGTCTCCGCAAACAATGGTGCAGCGCCGAATCCCATCTGGGTATTGTAGATGCTCGAATGTGCTTCAATGGGGTTCATCATCTCCCTGCAATATCATTCCCCCCATATATCCAGTTCAGATACAATAAAACTACGAAATCAAGGAATCCAAGAGAGGAACAGAAGGATTATTGAGACTGACCTGGTTAGTAAGAGTTGAGGGGTGAAGAGATTAAGATGCCTAGCTTCAACGGCCATGGAATTTTAATGGGGGTGTTGCTGTTGCTTTT